AAAAATATATATATATATATATATATATATATATATATATATATATATATATATATATTACGCACGTGCGCACGTGCAGCACGCATACAAAACATTACTTACTAGTGTCCAAAAAAGGTAGATGTGTTTGTTTTCTAGACGAAATAAAATGACCAAATTGGGGCTAGGAAATGAAGCGATCTCATCCGTTGATCCAATCGCTGCAAACCTAATCGGACGGCCAATATGCCGAACGGTGGCGCTAGTTCTTCAAAAGACGTAACCGGGATCACGCGCTCAATTCTCTTAACTCGGCAATTCATCGTCTTCTTCCTATTGTTTGTCTCCGTATAAATTCGTACCTACCCAAACAAGAGAATACCGTTTGAATTTGCTCGAAATTTGATTCATCAGAGCAGAGAGAGAGCCATGAGTTTTGATCTCGAATCGCTCTCGGAGGCAACTTCTGGTGCGATTGGTTCGCTTGTCAGCACCACCATCTTGTACCCGCTTGATACCTGCAAGTCCAAATACCAAGCCGAGGTTCGAAGCCATGGCCAACGGAGATACAGGTTGCTCACTTTTGTTCTTGCCTTGGTTTTTGTTTTTCTTGATCTATGTTTGTGTGTTTCCCCTGTTTTCTTGACGGTTGCATTGATTGTTTTGGGTGACTTTCTTGTTTTGCTTTCGAATCGTGATCTGGAGTATCATTTCTGCCATCGTTACTGTCTTTTTTTAAGGAATTTGTATAGTAAATTGAGTTAGTTTCTGATGAATGTAATCGACATATTCTTGGAGCTCGATCTTATGATCGTTGGAAATCTATCTCGTAATTGAGGGGTCTCTATAGAATTTGAGAGTTTTTGAAGTGGTTGGCTGGTGAGCTGTGGGAAGTTTGGCATAATTTCAAGCTCATTGGAATCTGGAAAATCGCCTGTTACTAATTTGAAAGCATTCTTGTGAGTTGGATGGCATGATTTTATTGAAGTACGGATGCAAATGGCTTGTTTGGGTTCATGGCGTTCAGATTATTAATGAAATGATGATTTTGGAAGAACAACGCAATAGACAGGACTTTGTTGGATGATACCTCTGATTAACACTTTTGACACAACACAGCCCAATGAATGGAACTACCTCGTGGTTCAAAATCGTGCTGCTGCTTTTCTTCTCGAAAACTAATTCGATGCCACAAAATTTTTGTATCGTAGTTCTTGTTTTTGCATCGGAATTGATTCGGTTGATTTGGATTGTGTAGGTATCTTTCAGATGTGTTATGGGAAGCGATAAAATCAAATCAAGTTCTTTCGCTGTATCAGGGACTGGGAACCAAAAATCTACAATCTTTTGTTTCTCAGTTTTTGTATTTCTATGGATATAGCTACTTCAAGAAACTATATCTGGCAAAAACTGGAGCTAAATCAATTGGAACCAAAGCAAACCTTTTACTTGCTGCTGCTGCTGGAGCTTGCAATGCCATTTTAACTCAGGTTGGGATGTCTCTGTTGTCAACCATATGGTGAAAACACATTATTTTTCCATCATTGCATGCCCTGAATTTGAGTTCTTAGAGGAAAATAGTAGATTCTTGTTTGGGATATGTGAAACATGTTATTTTGATGTTTAAATTTCTAAAAATGAGATACAATCACATAAAAGAGGAAGATAATAATTGATCTCTATCTCTTATTGTGTTGAAATTAACATATCACGTGCTCTTGGCGACCCTGAAAATTTGGTATGAATTATGATGATTCTAACTTTATTTTCCATGATGCTACGAAATAAGAGACGATCAATCAACTGTAACAGCCTAAGCTCACCGCTGGCAGATATTGTCATCTTTGGGCTTTCCCTCAAGGTTTTTAAAATGTGTTTACTAGAGAGAGGTTTCCACACTCTTATAAGGAATGTTTTGTTCCCCTTTTCGACTGATGTGAGATCTCACAATCCACCCCTTTGGGGCCAGCGTCTTTGCTAGCACATCGGCCGGTGTTTGGCTTTGATACCATTCATAATAGTCCAAGCCCACGCTAGCAGAAATTGTTCTCTTTGGGGTTTCCCTTTCGGGCTTCCCTTCAAGGTTTTTAAAATGCGTCTACTAGGGAGATGTTTTCACACCCTTACAAAGAATGATTCGTTCCCCTTTCCAACTGAGGTGGGATCTCACATAGACATGGCAATTCCTTGTTTACAAGGATTTAGCTTAATTTCTCAATTCAGTGTGCTACTTTTTTTGGAATGATGGATGAAGAAAGAGTGAAAGAAAGCAAAGAATACTTTGCCTTTTGTCCATCCACATCTTGTTTAGTGTTGCAAGAGAAGTTTTCTTTTAATGCATTATCGTGTACAATATCGAGCTGCAAATTTTGTTCAACGTCATCGTTATATATTGTTCCAAGTCTCTTTGAGAACTCCTATTGAAATACTGAAGTTTAATGTTTCTACTGAAATTATCTCTTGGTTTGCCACTGTATAGCCCCTGGATACCGCCTCCTCTAGAATGCAGACAAGTGCCTTCGGAAAATCGAAAGGGCTTTTCACGACACTGACCGAGGGCAGTTGGAGTGATGCATTCGATGGCCTTGGAATTTCCTTGCTGCTGACTTCAAACCCTGCCATTCAGGTACTTACCCTCTCTATGCTAATTTTCAGTCATCCGTTTCTTCGAACTCGACGTGACCGAACGCATTCAAGTTGTGCAACATTCTCTCAATTTAACACAAACTTTGATTCAATGCAGTATACAGTATTTGATCAGCTGAAGCAGAACCTCCTCAAGGGAAACCAAAACAAAACAGAACAAGGTTCATCTCCAGTAGTCCTTTCTGCCTTTACAGCTTTTGTAATAGGTGCAATTTCGAAAAGTATTGCCACCATTTTGACATATCCTGCAATCAGGTGCATAATTTTTCTTTCGTCACCGAAACTCTCCTCTCCTTACTCGTCTAGCACATTCAAACAATTAAGATTTTCTCGATTCGCAGGTGTAAGGTGATGATCCAAGCAGCACATGACGATGAAACCAAAGACAACCGTCCAAAGGTCCAACGAACAGTTCCAGGCGTCGTCCATTCAATATGGAAAAGAGAAGGAATACCAGGATTTTTCAAGGGATTGCAAGCACAGATCTTGAAAACTGTACTTAGTTCAGCTCTGCTTTTGATGATCAAAGAGAAGATCACTTCAACTACGTGGGTTTTAATACTTGCAGCCAGAAGGTATCTATTTCTCACAAGGCATAGACTAAAAAGTAGCTGAAAATTGTCCATAAAGACCAAGAACATGTGAAGAAGAAGAAGAAGAAGAAGAAGAAGAAGAAGAAGAAGAAGAAGAAGCAATAACAATGGAATAAGCACCATTCCCATGGATATAATGCAAGGTTAGTGTTGGTTTTATCAAAATAAAATTTACTCTTTGGATCTTGTTTAGAGGATTATATGCTCAGTTAGAACATGACTGTAGGCTTTGATTAGACTAAGCCAATGCCATGAATTTTTGTTGAATTAGCACAAGTAACTTAGTTTGTAACCATACATTTCATTCTACATAAATTCTATTAAAGCTGTTTGGAGATTAGTAATCATCGAATTTGAGCATTCCTGAGAGCAAGAATGTCGAAAAATATCGAAGGGAGGGGAAGGAATATGCTTTCGGAGATTGATATTGGATTTCTTTTTCATCAAAAACGAAGAAGGCTGAGGATGGCCTATGGTGTGTC